TGAACAATAAATTCTTCTTTCATATTTCAAAGAATTTATGAGTGGGACCAGCAAGTGGCATAGTGGTTAAGGTGCTGGACATTCCCACATGGCCAATCATGGTTTGAGTCCCAGACCTGGTGGCTTGCTTTCTCACTTTGTCTCTCTGTGTGTGTTTCTCTGATTAAATTAAAATAAAATGAATAAATAAATAAAATAAAATAAATAAGTCTTAAAAAATTTATTAGCACTTGCTGACTTGGCTTTTTAGAGTATTTTTTTCTCTATCTCCTTAGACAAAATTAATTTTCACATTTACATTTTTTAAAAAATATTTCTTGTCAGGGCCCATTCTGACACCCTAGGTATACCCATTTGCTTAGCTGGAAGCTTTGACTCTTTTCTAATAAACTTTGCTTACTATACTCTCCTTTTGTCCACATTTCTAATTCTTTGTGACCATCAGAGAAGAACCTGCCCAAGTGTTGTATTTGAATGCCTAGCACTTCATAGCATGGATGCTACTCTGTACCTCATTAAGTTTACCCATCTCTAATACAAGCCTATTTCTAGTACAAGTGAAATGCCCCCAATTTCCCAGTGAAATAACTGTGGAGTCTTTGCAGACAGAGTGTTCCTAAGGCAGCTGTGTTTGTGGGGTGTCTTGGTGTCTTAAAGTGAATGAAGCCTCTAGTCCCCTCCTGCATTTCTTTGGCCTGCCTAGCACTCCTGGGTAAGTTACTTTTTTTCTTTTAAGATTTTTGCTATAGGGCATAAGTGCTTGCCTGAGAGAGACAGAGATGGGCAGGGTAGGTGGGGAGGAAGGAGAAATCACCCCCTAGGTGGGTGGGCTTGCCTAAATCCCTTCTTATCCATTTTCCTCTTGGGATTTTGGGCACCTACTCTGGATGTAATTTTCAAGCCACTGGATCTGGGAATCAAACTACAAAGTTGCATGTGGATCCAGCAGCCTTTCCTCAATGCCACTGGCTGGCCCACTACTGGGTAAATTTAAAAACTTTTAGGGGCTATCAGGTGGCATAGTGGTTATGGTTTTGAACTCCCACTTGGCTGAAGGAAGTGGTAGCCTTTTTTTTATTTCAAGACTTGACAGCTTGAAAATCACATTTTGTGCATGTACCTTTGTGTCCAAAATTCCAGGAGAAGAATGAAGAGAAGGGATTGTGGTGTGGTCCTCACCCTTGCTGGGTGATTTCTCATTCCCCTCCCTCTTTCTGTCACTCTCCAGCAAGCGCACTCACCCTATGGCAAAAACCTGAGGGGTAAAAAAAGAATCTTATACAAGTTCAAATTCAGAATCGAGTGACAGTGATTTTTGTTAGGCTGTTTGGAGTACTGGTGAATAGTAGCATTTTATTTAAAATAAAGTAAGCATTGTTAAGTTAGAAAATTATACAGGTAGGAATCTCACCTGAAAGAACACCCCTATGGCCTGAATACTGTATTAGTACTTCAGAGCAGTGGCAGAAGAGCCTGAGAAAGAGAAAACAATTCAGTTTACCTAAAGTAATTATTGATCTTTCTTCCTAGAGTGGACAGAATTTGGATAATCCTACCTTCTCCTAAAGCACTGGATGCTGCTCAGAGGTTTAGATCAATTTTTAGAAGGGATAGAGAGTTTCACTGAGATGGGTAGGCAAAGCCCTAATGATGTTACTTATTGCAGAAAGCTTAGAGTGTCGCCTGGTGTGAAGTTATAATCTGTCATCCTGAGAGTGTCTGTCTACAGTGCTCTGTAAACAGACTCCATTCTATCAATTTGTCCTTAGTGTTTCCTGTTTCTGAGCTCACTTAAACCTGATCTGTTACCAAATTTGGCAACTAGAAAAAAGTGGATGCACCCTCTATCTTGATAGGTTTTCCTAGTAGTTCAGGAAGGGTTTGCCAAAGTATTTCTGCCTTATAAGAAATATGGAAATAAGTTAGATTTGAGATGTGTCTTTCTCAGAGTCTGGTTATTTGTAGATACTAGACATTCTGACATTTTGGCTAGTGTTATTTGTTTTTTACCAGATTTCAATCAAATGAAACATTTGATTACTTTTATTTTTTTCTTTTTTTGGAGAGGTTTTTTTTTTTGCTCGCACACTCAACAGAAAGACAGAGCGAGACAGAGAGATAGAAAGCAAGAAATCACCCCTCAGGGCAGATGGTCATGCTGCAATCCCTTGTCCTCCATTCTTCTCTTAGCATCTTGGGCATGCATGCACATGTGCTCGGTGTGAGTTTAAGCTACTGGATCCGGGACTCAAACCACGGTTGACTACATGGGAGTCCAGCAACATAGCCATTACAATAACTGCTGGTCCCCAATTTTTTGTGTGTAACATTGAGGTTAACACAAACATGACTTTTAATACCTTTCCTATCCCTCAACAAATTTTGTAACTTAAATGGTTTCAAGGAGTTTTCTACTTAAGAACAACAATGTCTTATTCAGATGATAAATTCTGCAGAAAATTTATTACAGCCTTTATTTCTTCTGTTTTTTAAAGATATTTTTGCTGTAGGACACACACTCTCACCAGAAAGAATTCCACCCACCCACCCCCCAACCTTGGGGGATGGCCAATTCTGAAATCCCTTCTCCTCTCTCCTGTGATTTTGGGTGTATACACACATTCACTCACTTACCCATGTGCCTGGCATGGTTTTCATGCCACTGGATCTGGCACTTGAACCACATACTCAGCCACATGGAATCCAAACCTTAAGCACTTTAAGCAATGCTTCCCACTGACCCATATGAGCCTATTTTATATTATGTAAAATAGGAAAATTAGACTATATGACACTTTCAGTTTAAACCAATTTTTAAAATGTAAATAAAATAATGCAGTACTCTTGTATGAATAACAAATCCTTATGTTTTGTTTATTAACTAATTTTGTGTGTGTGTGTGTAGTTTTTCCCTTAGTACACATATGCATGTCAGAGAGAGACAGAGACAATGAGAGGGAAAGTAAAAAATCTCTCCCTAGAGGGATGGTCACACCACAGTCCCTGCTACTCCTTTCTCCTTCTGAGATCTTGGGCATGCATGCACATGTTCCAAGTGTGAGTTTTAAGACACTAGGCCTGGTACTCAAACAGTGGTCAGCCATGTGATAGTCTAGTTCAGTAACATAACTGCTAGGCCATATGCTGTCTATTTTATTTATTTATTTTTTTAGTTACAGAGACTTATAGTATATAAAAATCTTAAAACTTGGGACTAGCAGTTAGCATAATGGCTATGTCACTGAACTCCCATGTAGCCCACCACGGTTTGAGCCCTGGACCCGGTGGCTTAAACTCATGCTGGGAGCATGTGTGAGTGAGCCCAAGATCCTGAGAGGAGAATAGAGGAGAAGGGATTGTGGCATGGTCGGCCCTCCTGGGGGTTGATTTCTCGCTTTCTGTCTCTCTGTCTTTCTGGCAAGCTCATGCACCCTACAGCAAAACCTCTCAAAATAAAGAAATCTTAAAGGTTCATCAACTAATGTATACAGAATTGCTCTGTAGGTTTTTTAAAACTCTTACACATGGCTCTGAAGTTGTACTGATTGTATCTGACATGTATTTAAGACTTTCTGCCTCACGTGATTTTGTTAAAAACATTGCTGGGACTTAAATGTATTGTTCAGCATTTTCTGTGTAAGGAACAAACTGAGTATTCTAAAAACTAACAAATTTATTTGCTCAAAGGTCCTTATATCTACATTTTGGGGTGAGTTCAGCTGGGTAGTTTCTATTCTGGTTGACTGGATGGCAAGTGAGGCTTTAGTCATGTGGTGCCTCAAGAGAGTCTGATTCATTTCAGACGACTTCACTTTTCAGTCTAGTTGTTCATGCTTACTCTCAGTGAGGCCCCTGTAGCCACCAATTTAGCCTCAGGATTTTTCAATAATGACTCTGCTAAGAAGTGAAGCACTGTTGTGAGCAGGTGATGTGGTGGTTAAGGCACTGAATTCCCACATGGGCTAACTCTAGTTTGAGTCTTGGACCTGGCAGCTTGTAAATCATACTGGGCACATGTGTGTGCATATACCCAAAATCCCAAGAGGAGAATAGACGAGAAGGGATTGTGGTGTGGCTATTCACCATTTCTCCCTTTCCTTCTCTCTGTCTCTCTCCAATGAGCATATGTGCCCTATGACAAAAACCTAAAACAATAAAGAAAGAATGGCAGCACTAGTGGGCAAAAACTTGCCAAACTTCAATTTCTATGCATTTTCTTTTTTCGGTTTATTTTATTCATGATAGAGCATGCATGTCCACTCAAGATTGAGAGAAAGAGAGAGGCACATACAGGGATTCATTACTGTGTTTCCCCAGCTCTCTTAACTCAGGATCTTAGGCGTGTGCACTTATTCACAGGCTTGATTTTAGAGTGACCTGAGGATCCAAAGTCATAGTTAACCATATGCCTTCCAAGACTGCAGTTACATTTGTTATTGACTCCAAGCTGGACCTGCATTACGTTTTGTTTTGTTTTCAGTTTTTGCTATAGGGCATGTGTGCTTGCTAGAGAAAGAAAGAGAAAGGAAGAAGGAAGGAGGGGAGAAAAGGAAGGAAGGAGAAATTTCAAACCAGAAATATGGCCATGCCTCAGTTTCTTCTTCATTCTCTTCTCAGGATTTTGGGCACACCTGAACATGTGGCTGGCCTGCTTTTCAAGGTGTTGGGTCTGGGACTTGAACCATGGTTGACCATGTGGGATCCAGCTGCATTAACCCTCATGCCCTGGATCAGGGCATTATGTTTTGTTTATTAACTAATTCTGTGTGTGTGTGTGTGTGTGTGTGTGTGTGTGTGTAGTTTTTCCCTTAGTACACATATGCATGTCAGAGAGAGACAGAGACAATGAGAGGTGGTCTAATAATTTCTATTTCAGTATGACTTAATTTATGGATTTTGATTATATTATTGTCTCTTGATCTTTGTCTTTGATTGCTCTTTTGTAGTTTTATAATATTTGTTATTGTCAGTTACTCCAGTGCTTTAATTCAGAAATTGTCTAATTATGTATATATTTATATTTCACATTCTAGATAAATTTTAGAACTTTTTGGTCTCTTTTTCCATGAAAAGAAAACATACTTGAATTTTGATGGAATATTGGTATCAGTACAGAGATAGCCCTTCATCTTCATGAATTTTGAAAAAGTGGTCATCTTTGTAAAGGTGACATTTTCTTCACTTACATATATGTAACCACATTTTTCAGGTCTATAAATATTTTTCTTATATATTCTACATATTTGTTTCTAAAAACTTGCATACATATATATTACACAAATGTTATGTTCATATAAGTTATGTCGTATTTGATACTATTTATTAAATTGGACCTATAAAAACTAAAATATGGCTTTCCCCTAGGAACCACTTCCTTTACACTGTCCCATTCTTTTCTCAATTAATGACTTCTTGCCTCTTCTACCTCAGTTTCAAATATTTAAACTAATGCTATGAATTCTTATCATAGTACTTGCATTCTTATATTTCTTTAGTTTGTGCTGGTTGTATGTGTGTCTGGGAGGTTATTGAATCAGTTTCCTAAAGTATAGATAAGTAGACATTCAACCTATTTTTCCCCCTTAGAGTTCAGTTCAAAATATTTATTGATACTATTTAGTTTTATTTATTTGATTTTGGTATTTTCCCATTTACTAAAGATGTTAAACATGTTTTATACATTTATTGAACATTTAGAAATCTAGCTAAAGTATCTGAACAAGTGTCTTTGTCTACTTTTTTTTTATTAAAAATGTTTAAAAATGTTTAGTTACAGTATCAGGATGTGGAATAGAGGCTAGGGTGCTGGATTCCCACAGGACTGACCACGATTTTCCTAGACCCGGTAACTTGCTTTCTCTCTCTCTCTCTCTCTCTCTCTCTCTGGTGAATATGTGAGTTCTGTAGCAAATTTTTAAAAAAGGGATGAACAATCTTAAAAATTATTTAGTTAGTACGTGGGAGGCAGGAGGATCATAGCTAGCAAGATCCTGTTTTTCAAAACATTTTTATTTAAAAAAGAACAGTATGTTTGATTACACATATGGTCATTATTTTCTCACACTCTTGTCCCTTCTCTTTACACCCTTTAGGTATATCATATGATGAATAGAATTTTTATTTTAATGTAGTCCAATTTACAAGTTATTTAAAATATTTTTTTACATAACTCTTCAAAGATATCTTTGGAAATTATGTAACATGGGTAGAAAAAATACATCACAATTTTTTACTACACAGATATAATATTGTCTTCACAGCTAATGCTCTTTGGAAAATATTTTTTCCCTGCTTCTCTGAAGTGCCATCTCTTTCACTGATACAAGTTACCAAAAGCCAGAGGTATTTTTAAGAAGTTCTCTTGATAGTTCAACTGGTCTGTTTATTCATCTCATTTCTAGTTTTACACTGTTTAATTTTTATTACTTTATAAAATTTGTATTTGAATGTGATTGTTTCTGTGTGTATGCTATCATTGCAAGAATATACATTTGTTATCAAAATTGACAGATTTCTTTAAGTTTCTTTTTTTTTTTTTCTTGAGAGATTTCTGTCATAGGGTACATATACTAACTGGAAAGACAGAGAGAGACAGAGAGAACTCATTCCCCAGGTGGGATGGACATGCCACATTCCCCTCTCCTCCATTCTCCTCTTGGGATCTTGGGCACACATGCACACACATCCAGTGTGAGTTTTAAGTCACTGGGTCTGGTCAAGTACATGAAAGTCCAGTGATTGATGTAACCATTATGGCATCTGCTGCTCCCATTCCCTGAATTTATTTTAGAGCATTAACATTTGGCATTGCTGATTCTCTCTCTGATATGTTTAACTTTATTATCTTTGATAGCTTCTTATAACTTTCTCTTTTCCAATCATCTTTTAGTAAATTTCCCATATCTAAACTATTAAGATTGATTAGCTAATGAATTCTTAATCTTCATTCTTAGTATTTTTGTTTTATAAATAAATAAAGTTTTGCTATGGGGCACATTTGTTCACTGAAGAAGACAAAAAAGGAGAGTGGGGCCAGAAAATGGCATGATAATTAAGGCACTGGTGTTAGTTGAAGCTGGTTTTAATTTTTTACTTTAATTACTTTAATTGAGTTTGTAAATGGTATTTGTGTATTTAATTGTAATAAATACACAATTTCTAGCCCTCTACTTTCAGTCTATGTGTATCTTTTAATTAGAGCATTTAATCTACTAACATTCTACACAATTATTGATATTTACTGATTTATCACTGCCATTTTGTTAGCCATCTTCCAGTTTCATTTTTTCTCTTATTTTTGTTTGTGCCTTTTTAGTTTTCCTGATATAGTGTACCCTTCAATATTTTGTGACTATCTTGTCTAGTGTTGATAAATTTTTTCAGTTTTCTTTTTCTAAAAAAAAAATCTGGAAATGATATTTTTGTGTTCTTCCAATTTGAAGAATACTCTCACATGGTGTAGTATGGGTTGAAATTGTCTTTCTTTCAGTGTTTTGAATATGTCTTCTTGTTCTTTCCTTGTTTGCATTGTTTCAGTCGAGAGGTCTGATGGTAGCCTAGTAGGATAACAATTTGTAAATAACTACATTTCTCTCTTTACATTTTTAGAACCTTGTCCTTTATCTTGATCAATCTGGCTTTGATGTACCGTCGAAAGAATCTTCTTAGATTTACACCATTTGGGGTCCTTTGTGCTTGTTGGGTCTGATGTCTGAACATTTCTCTAGGTTTGGAAAGATTTCTTCAAATATTTCATGGGGTAGGTTTTTGTTGCTATAGTCATATTCTCATATTCTTTGCTTTCTGGAATACCAATTATTCAGATATTTGGGTGTTTAATGGTGTCTAGTATTTCTGGTATGTCATCATTTTGAGGGGTTATTTGTGAGAAACTCAGGGCTCGAAGGTAGGCTGTCATGAAGAATTGAGGCAAGAGATGAGGAAAAGTTAAAAGAGGGGGCTAAAGCTCTCTTGGAACTGAAGCAAAACTGTGCAAAAGCAGAACCCATTTATTCTAAATTAAATCAAATAAGTAGTGAGTTTAGCTATAGAGAACAGAATACAATATACATGACATTCTTTGTAGGTTGTATTCCTGGTACAAGATTGGTAGCTATCATTAACTTAGTAGACAGTATTTTGGCTGTGGAATGTCACCAAACATCTTGAGACACAGCTCATGCCTAGAGCTCTATCTGGTTGGCCATGGAGTCCCTTTGGCTTTCTGTCTAGGAATGGGGTTGCTTTCAACTGCCTTCTGCATTCTTTCCTTCTGGCTTAATTCTTAGGCATGGGCTGTTTTTATTTTATCCCCAACAGTTATTTTTTTATTCTTTTTGATGTTTTTGTCTAAGTGAATGGCTTTGTCTTTCAGATCAGAGATTCTATCTTCTGCAAGGTCTTACCTGCTATTAATTCTTTCAAGGGAGTTTTTTTTTTTTTTTAATTTTGTGTGTGTGTTTCAGTCCTTATCTCTAGGAGTTCTGTTCAATTCTTTCTTTATGGCATTTGTCTTTTTTTAAATTTTTTATTATCATCATAATCTTCTTTATATTACATTGGATTACATATAACTTTACAGTGTATTACATTGCTTTTTCAAAAGGGAATGCCATGCATGTCAGTCAATACAGAGACATTAATCTCCCCACTTCAACATTCAATATCTTTTCTATGTTTTCTTCTGATATTTCTGTGACTTCTTTTGTACTCTTTGGTTGAGGGGGAATTTTTCTGTTCCCTTGAGGGAGAGATGTTTTTTTTTTCTTCATATCTCTTGTGTCTCTACACTGTTTTTTGGTCATCTAATGGATTACACACTCCTTCCTAATTTTTTGGAGTTGATTTTGTAGTGTTGGTGGGGAAGATGAGCTCTACTTCTCAGGTGTGTTTTTGTAAAATGGCCTTTTCTATCAATCCAAGAAGGGTAAAGGTAGCTAGCTTTAGATGTTGGTTTCTATCCCAATCTCTCAGAATAAGTTGCACTTGGGGCTGATTCAAATAAAGAAGGAAGTACAAGTCAGCTAACTACAATCTCAAAGCAAACTAAGGCATACAAAAGCAGTAGCAAGGAGTCTGAGAGGCCTGGTCCTGCACTCCCTGTCTCTCTGTTGCTGCCTCTTAGTCCTGAACCATTGGGGGTTAAGGTAGAGGAGGTATGGCAGAGGGTTGAAAGCACACCAGCTTGAGCTAAAGGCAACAGCAAGAAATCTGAGTGAGAGGTGCGATCCATCTATGCTGAATCTGTCTCTTATTGCCACTGGCTCCTGAACCATGGAGGCTTAAGGTGCAGGGTGAGGTGGGAGAAGGGTCAAAAACACAGCTGTTGCAGGCAAAGGTAGCAGCAAGAAGTCTGAGTTGTGTAGTTAACAGACTCACTTTGTCTCTCTCTCTTGCTCTCTCTCTCTACTACTACTTCCTAGCTCCTGCACCATGAGTGCTTACTGCAGAAGTGCACTGGGGAGAGTGTCCAAAGCACACCTGCTCAGGCAGAAGGCAAAAGCAAGAACACTGAGATGTACTGACTTTCAGTGTTCACTCTTTCTTACTGCCCCTGGCTCTTGCACTGTGTCAGTTAATGGCAGAGGAGCCTAGGCAATTGTGAGAGTCAAAAGCACACTTGTGTAGGCAAAAGGCAGCATCAAGAGCACTGAGACATGAGGTTCTTCTGCACTCATGCTCTCTGTCTGACTTGCTGTTCCTGGCTCCTACAAGGTGGGGGACTTAAGGAAGTATGGGCAGGAGGGGGTTATAAACCACACCCATGCAGGCAAAAGGCAACAGCAAGAAGTCTGAGATGCAAAGTACTTCTGCATTCACTCTCTCTTGCTATCACTGGCTCCTGCACATGAGGACTATGGCAGAGGTGCTAGAGAGGAAGGTTCCAAAGTGAATCTCTACAGGGAAAAGGCAGCAACAAAAAGTCTGAAAGTCAGTGCTCACTCTCACTGTCTCACTGCCACTGGCTCCTTTACCATGGGGGCTTATGGTGGAGGGCAGAGTGGTGGGGGCCATTTTAAAGCACATCTAGACTTGCCAAAGGTAGCGGCAAGATGGATGAGATCATTATCCTCCTGTGCTCACTCTCTCTCTGTCTTTCTTGCCAATGCTGACTCATACACTTTAGGAGCTTAAGGCAGAGGGGCATGGGATGTGGAGAGTTTAAAGCACCCCAGCATGGGCAAAAGGCAGAAGGAAGGAGCTCCACCCTTCTGTGCTCACTCTTTGTTGCCCCTGGCTTAGACCAGCACAGGGGCTTGTAGAGGATGAGCACATGAGTGGTGAGAGGTTCCAAAGCTCACCTGTGTGGGCAAGAGGCAACAGCAAGGACTCTGAGAACACTTTATTCTGTCTCACTGCCATGGTTGGCTTTTACACCATGGGATTTATGGCAGAGAGGTGAGGTGTGGGGACAGTCCAAAGCACACCTACATGGGCAAAAGGTAGCAGTATGAAGTCTGAGATGTGCTGTCCTGGGAATGCACAGGTGTGTTCCCTGTCTGGCCACTGCAACCTTTTTTTTTTTTTTTTTTTTTGGAAGAGGTTTTTCTGTGTGGGAGGGGGATGGTCATGTCGCAATCCCTTCTCCTCCATTCTCCTCTCGGGATCTTGGGCATGCACGCACATGCACCCAGCGTGAGTTTTAAGCCACCGGGTCTGAGATGTGAACCGCGGTTGACTACGTGGGAGTCCAGCAACATAGCCATTATGCTAACTGCTGGTTCCCGCCACTGCAACCTTTGAGTTTATTACAGAGGCATACTGGGAGTGGGGAGCAGAAATTTTAAAGCACACTTATTCTGGCAGAAGGCAGCAGTATGATGTCTGAGACATGGAGTCCTTTCATTTCTCTCTGTCTCTCAGTGCTGCTGGCTCCTGGACTGCAGAGGCTTAAGGTGGAAGGGGACAGATAATGTCCAGAGTACAATTGTGAAGGAAAAAGGGAGCATGAAGGAGTCTAAGATGCTCTATTCTTATGTCACACTCTCTCCATCTCTCACTGCCACTGACTCCTGCACCATGGGAGCTTATGGCATAGGACTGTGTGTGGGTGGGAGGGATCTAAAGGACACTGCCACAGGCAAAGCAGGAAGAAGTCTGAGATGCCCAGTTCTGTGTTCACTCTGTCTCTGTCTTCCTGCTGCTGGTTTTTGCTTTGTGGCACCTTATGGTGAAGGAGCACTGTGTGGAGAGAGTTCAGAGAACATGTGTGTGAGCAAAAGACAATAACAAGAAGTCTGAGAAGCCTGGTCCTTCTAGGCTCATTCTTAGTCACTCTAGCTGCTGCTGGGTCTTGTATCCTGGGGGCTTAAGGTGGTGAAGGGCAGAGAGACAGGGTTCAAACCGCACCTGCCTAGGCAAAAGGCAGGAAGAAGTGTCAGATATGCAGTCTTTCTGCATTCACTCTATTTCTCATTGCTACTGGCTTGTGCACTGTGAGTGCTTATGGTGGAAAGGCTCAAGGTGGGGCAGGGTCCAAAGCAGACCTGTGTGGGAAAAAGGCAGGAGCAAGAAGTTTAATATGCATGGTATTACTGTGCTCATTCTATTGTTGCCTCAGGCTCCTGCAACATGGAGCTCATGGTGGAGACAGGGTGGTGGGGGAGGTTCCAAAGCATATCTGCATTTGACCTGAGATGCTTGGTACTTCTCTCTCTCTCTCTCTATCTCTCTCTCCAGCTGGTTCCTGAACTGTGGGGGCTTAAGGCAGAGGGGAGCAGGGAGTAGGAGTCCAAAGAACACCTGTGCAGGCAAAAGCAACTGCAAGCAACTGGGATGAGCATTTATTCTGAGTTCACTATCTTGCTGTTGTTGGTTCCTGCAGGATGGGGGCTTATGGAGGAGGAATACAGGAGGAAGGGTCCATAGCACATGAGCATGTGCCACAGGCAGCAGCAAGAAGTCTGAGATACTCAGTCCTGCTCTCTCTCTCTCTCTAACAGTGGTTTCTGAACTATTGGAACTAAAGGCAAAGGGGAACAGGGGTATGGGGGTCCAAAGAACACCTCTGCAGCCAAAAGTCAACAGCAAGAAGTATGGGATGTGCACTTCTGAGCTCACTTTCGCTTCTTCTGCCTCTTGCAGTATGGGGCATCCTGCAGAGGGGTGCAGGGGGATGGGGGAACTTCAGAGCACAACTGTGCCATCAAAGTCAGCAGCAAGATGTGCTCCTGTTTACTCTCTCTCTCCTTACTGCTGTTTCCTGCTTAGGGGTTAGCTTATGGTGGAAAGGCTCCAGTGCTGAGGGTGGTGGGAAGAAAAGTCTCATAGCACACATGAACCAGCAAAAGGCAGCAGTAAGAAGTCTGAGACATGCGATACTTTGGCTCACTCTTGTGTACTGTTTTGCTGCCAGGGGCTCCTGCACCATGGGGGCTTTTGGCAGAAGGGTTTGTGGAGAGGAGGGTCCAAAGCATACCTGTGGCCACACACACATATGTGTTTGGTGTAAGTTTTAAGCTGCCAAATCCGGGACTTGAACCATGGTTGACTACATCAGAGTCCAGTAATGTAACCATTATGTCATCTGCTGGTCCCCAGTGTTTTTGTTTGCTTTTTTTTTTTTTTCTTAGAATTTTTACTATAAAGTACATGTGCTCACTGGGAAGACAGAGACAGAGAGACAGAAAATGAGAAATCACTCCCTAGGGTGAATTGCCATGCCTCAATGCCTTCTTCATTCTCCTTTTTTGATTTTGGATATGCACAAACAGGTTCCCATTGTGAGTTTAAGCCACTGGGCTTGAGACTCGAACCTCGGTCGACAACGTGAGCGTTCAGAAACTAACCATTTATTTCATCATCTGCTGGTCCCCAAAGTAACATTTTTACTAAGTTATTTTAACGTTTTACTAAGTCTTTCATTTCTATCAGTGAATAAATTTGTGATTGTTCATTCAATAAGGTCTTTTTAGCCCACTGTCATGTGTAAGTGACTTCTCCCATAGGGGAATCTGGGAATAAGCAACATCATTTCTCTGACCTACTTCGTTCACCTTCTCTTCCAGCTATAATTTTAGAAACCTCTGTATTTGTCCAGGATTAAGAAAATGAATTCATTTTCGGTAAGTGGTTTACTGATCTCCCCAAGTGTTTTACATTGTATTTAGAAATTTTATGAGTGTTCATAAATTAAAATGGAAAAGTAAAATTAAATAAAATTCAGCATGAGACATGTGTAAAAAAGCAAGATAAAATTGACAGGGTGAAATAGGCAGGTTATAAGGCCTTTACAGCCCTGTGAGATGAGTACAAATTGGTCTCTAGCTTTCCTTATACCATGAGAAAAACACATTTATTATATGGTTTGAATTGACTCTAAGGGGAGAGCATGCTAAATTCTTAAGGAATATGAATCACGAGATAGTCTTTATTAGTCACATAGATGACATGGTAGACAGTGTTTTACAACTAACCTGGAAATGCACACTCAGTGTTCTACAGTGATCACTGTTACTGATTGCTAAAACACAAACCAGTCAGTAGCTTTTTCTAGGGTTGCTAATATAGCGTGGTCCCACACAGCTCTTAGACATATCCACTTGATACATATAAACCTGGAATGTGTGGCAGGAATTTACTACAGATCCCTAAAGAACTGTCCATATAGTTCTCTCACTTAGAGTGTATGTGTTGATTATGCCAAAGACTGCCCAAAGTTGTATTTCCTGACCAATATAATAATGCACTGCATAGCAGCATTTCAGTGATGTACTGTATGTATTAACGTGGTCTAAGAAGATTATAATGAAGCTCCAAAATCTCTGTAATCTAGCATGGTTTTAGCTGTCATAATCTCTTAAAATAACACATTACTCACATGTTTGTGGTAATGCTGGTGTAAATAAACCTGTGCTGCCAGTTGCATCTAAGTACATGCATACAATTATAATCAGTAAATATGTAGACTTATAAAGATAAATATAAATTAATAATTATGCATATATTTTCATTTTGGAATCATTTCTGGTTTACATGTAATCATTGTATCCCTTTGAGAAATACAGTATTTTTTTTAATAATTATTTTTATTTAGTGTATTTATTTGTTGTCATTTTTGAGCTACCTGGTCCAGGACTCGAACCATGGTCAGCGATGTGGGAATCCAGAATTTAGCCAATACTACTGGATTATAGTTTTTATATTACAGTGTCATTGTCTATTCTGTTTTTTGTTTTCTTTGCTGTTCAGAAATATTTTATCTTATGTAATCAAGTTTCTCTATTTTTGGTGGTTTTGTCCATGCCTCATGGGTCTTATTTAAGTAGTCTTTGCCCACTCAAATATGTTCTTGTATATTTTCTTTAATAGGTTTATATATTTGTCCATTATATTGAAGTCTTTAATCCACTTTGAGTTAAATGTAACTGGTAAGAGACGATCAAGTTACTCGAATATTGGTGGATATTGAGTTCTCCCAGAACCATTTATTAAAAACTATTTTTTTCCCCACAGGCTTGATCTGTGGCCTTTGTCAAAAATCAGCTGACAGTATGTTAAGTTTTTTCCTGTTTATTCTATTCAGTTAGACTATCTTATGTCTGTGTTTGTGCCAGCACCCTGCTGTTTTAGTGATTAAGGATTTACAATACTTTTAGGAGTCAGGAAATAAGATGCCTCTAACTTTATTCCTTTTGTACACAATTGGTCTGATTATATTGGTCTTTTGTGATTCTGTATAAATTTTATAATTATTTCTGTGTTGAATATTGCTGGTTTTTTGGTAAGAATTGAAATGAATTTGTAGATCACTATGGCATAGTATAGGTATAGCACCTATATTGATTCTTCAGATTTATGAAAAGAACTGTCTTCCTGGTTTTTGCATATTTTTCAAGTAACTTATTCAGCTTTTATAATTTTGTTCATAAAGGTTTTTCACTTTCTTGGTGAGATTTCTTCCAAATAGTGTTTGTGGTTATTGTGAATGGGATTGCCTTCTTCATTTTTTCCCCATTTATTCATGGTGTAGAAAAATGCTACAGATATTTTTAATTACCCAAGGGCTTATGTACTTGTTAGAGAGTGATAGAGAGATGGAGATTCAGGAAGGGAGAGAAAGCACCCCAAAAATGAAGCATAAAATGCCATTATGGGCTATAAACCTACCTGGAAACTATCCTCTGTACTAAACTGACATAGCCAGGGTGCTCAGGGGATGCTGCAATCCCTTTCCTCCAATTCTCCTTCCCATCAGGATTTTGGACACATGCACACATATACACATTCAATGTGTTTCCCAAGCCCACAGAGCCTTGGACTCCACCACAGGTGATTATGTGGGATCTGGCTCCCTATACATAATATTTAAGCCCTGTGCTATGAGTATAGCCTACTGCAGATTTTTAAATGCTGAATTCATATCCTACAACTTTACTGCATTTGTTTCTTTCATCTAAGAGTTATTTGGTACATTCTTTAGGTTTTCCTATATATTGGTTGTAAAAAAAGAAAATGTGGAAAAATGCATCATCACTTTTCTGATGAACCATTATATAATCATGTCAGCCACAAATAGGGACATGTTAACTTTTTCTTCTTCAATTTATATGTCTTTTATTTTGTTCTTTCATTTGACTGTATTAGTTAGTACTTCTAGTATCTATGTTGAATGGGAGAGAAGAAAGTGGACATTTCTGTCTTGTTCTAGTTTGAAGTTGAAAACGTTTCCACTTTTTTCCCATTCATTATTTTGTTAGCTGCAGGAATGTCACATATGGCCTTTATTTGGTTATGAAATGTATTTTCTATGCCTATTTTATTGACTCTTAGTCATAAAGGACTATTATATTTTATCAAATGCTTTTTATGTGTCAATTAATATGATCACATGATTTTTCTCATTTTTTCTGTTAATGTGATCTATTACATTTGTTGTTTTATTCATATTGAATCATCCTTGTATTCTGCATAAATCCTACCTGGTTGTAATGTATAACATTTTCAAAATCCGTTGGATTGGTTTCAGTCATGAGATATAGCCCTATAGTATGCGTACATACACATATGCTACTTTGGTGTTCCTTGCATCTTTTTTGTACATTCATATCAGTCTCT